AAGTTAGTGTAAATAAATTTTGTAAATATACGGTGTCCTCAAAATATTTAGACACATGAAATCTTAATTTTTAGTTTTCATGATTTTCTGATTATAAAGAGTGTATAAAAAATGTTTATTAAATTTAGGACGGTTTTAAACGCTAGGTAACATTTGTTACATAAAAAACGCCGTAAATGTATATTTTTTACTCAGTAGTTTTATACAGGTGTACGAACGAAAAGTTATTAGTCTTCAATCCAGTTTTAAAATATCTAGATGGCGTCCTTTACAAGTAGGAGTCATATTAACATCAAAATCAAATTTCTAATGTCAAAAAATTCCTAGGTACCAATTTTTATCCAAATATTGGCGTTACTTCATAAATTATTTGGAAAAAAATCGATATAAAAATGAAACTTCTACACCCTGTATTTCCGAAACTCTTCTTCTCATTAAACTTGATGCATCTAAAAGTGTGTTTTATTAAAATACTAATACGTTTATTCAACATTTACTTAACTTTATTTAATTTAGATATTTTGCTAGTCATTTGAATAATTTCAGTAAAGGGTTTTAACATGGTTAGTCGTATATATATTAAATATTATATTAAAGAGCAAAATTGGTGGTTTATTCAGTCTAAAATTACAAACTGTCGATCTTAATTTCTTAGGACTTCTAATTACAAACCGCTAACATCTAATTCGTTTAGATTAATTGAGCTGCGGTTCTGAACGAATGGAAACTCGAAATTGTTATTCCACTCTAATGGAAATTTCGAAATAATTTGTCTGAAAAGTTCCAGAAACTAAGAAAATATCGTTAAGTTTCGGATTATTTAATAAAAGATACAAGAAAAACAGTGATGTAAACAAATAGTCTCTTGGATGAGTAAGTAGAAGAATTCTATATAATGAAATCAATCAAGCATTGGATAGCAACAATAGTTATTTCAAATATCCAATAGGGGAACACCTGCACCGACTGACGTGAGATTTTAACAGTGAATAGAGATATATGTAAGAAACAAAAGTTACATAGTAGCGATGTGTGTTTTCACCCTGGGGGTGAGTACCACCCCTTCTCGGGGGCGAAAAATTTTTCACTCATTTTAATTACAAAAATCAATAAAGGGATGAATTCTAAGCAAAAAATGTTCTATAACATTTTTTCAGAAAATTAACATTTTCTTAGTTATTTAGGATTGAAAATGTTGATTTTTCGTCTAAAAACTAATAAAAAAAATATGCTTTTGCCAATTTTTATAAATAACTTGAAAACCTTGCGTTTTATCGCAAAACTCATATAAAGCAAAAGTGAAGCTAAGCTGTAATAATAGCCGAGTTATCATTCTATAAACGTGATTTTTTATTTTTTGAAAACTAAATTGCAACAATTTACCGTAAAATAATGGCAAAGAACACATTTTTTAAAGAAAATAGATATGACCGTTTTTAAAGTGCTTGAAAAGACCTTTTAAATGATTTCTTAAAAAAGTTCGTAGCTCAAAAACTCGCGGAGTTGTGATAAAAATAATATGGTCACCTCATTATTTCGGAAAAAATTAACAACAAAATCTACAGCTCGCTATATTTAGACACTAACGATTGACTCTGCAAGTTCGAGCGGTTTAGAATACCTAAATTTGGAAAAAAGTTGAAAATAATGAAAAAAAAAATTTTTTTGTTTAAAAAAAAAATAATTTTTTTGACATATCTCAAAAACTAAGCAAGACACGTAAAAAATGCAACAGAGGAAAATTGAAGGTCTTTTTTCTGCAATATTTTTGCTCTCTTTCAATTTTTCTGTAGATCTCTTTATTTCGTAGATATTACGTTTTTTAGTTTGACTTGCAAGTAAGGACCACCTTCTTTGAGCATTTAAAACCCAAAAATCTCGTAAAAATGAAGAGTTCAAAACTATTCAACTATAGATGTTAATTTGCAGCTCATGTAATTTTCTACCAATTGATAGTTTTTATTTTTATGATTTTAGTCATAGATTTTATTGTTAATTTTTTTCCGAAAAAAATAGGTGACCATTTTATTTTTTTCACAACTCCGCGAGTTTTTGAGCTATGAACTTGAAAAGACCTTTAAAAAAAGACAGGTCTTTTCAAGCACTTGAAAAATGGTCATATTCATTTTCTTCGAAAAATGTGTGCTTTCGCCATTATTTTACGGTAAAAGTAGTTTAGTTTTCGAAAAAAAGTCAATTTAGTTTTCGAAAAATAAAGAATCAAGTTTACACAGTGATAACTCGGCTATTACTACACCTACGGTCAACAAAAAATGAGTCGATTCGTTATTCCAAAAGCTTCATTTTTGCTTTATATGAGTTTTGCGATAAAACGCAAGGTTTTCGAGTTATTTATAAAACATTGCAGAAAAATATGCAGTTTTTAGATGAAAAATCAACATTTTCAATCCTAAATAACCGGAAAAATATTAATTTTCTGAAAAAATGTTATAGAACATTTTTTGCTTAGAATTCATCCCTTTATTGATTTTTGTAATTAAAATGGGTGATTTACTTTTCACCCCCGAGAAGGGGTGGCACACCCCCAGGGTGAAAGCACACATCGCTACTATGTAACTTTTGTTTCTTACACATATCTCTATTCACTGTTAAAATTTCACGTCAATCGGTGCGGGTGTCAAGAATTCGGAGATAATACCCTATTGTTATCCTCGCCTTACTGGCCTAAAACAAAAAGAGCGTCTACAAAATGAACGTCAACGGTTTTTGTAGACGTATCTGTTTTAAAAGCTATAGTGTTCTCGAATAGCTGAATTTAAATATTTTAAATAGTTTTTTTCTTTATTCTTTGTTTATTTTGCTTCCGACGACGGAAAGAGATAAACTTTCCGAAACGTTAAGCATTTTTTTGTTCGTTAAGCAACTTTTTATATCTGTAAACCTAACTTCTGACAAGCAGTGCCCGTTTAGATTTAAAGCAGAAGTGTTTACAAAAAATAACTATTTTATTTTGTAGATTTTCTCGCAGTGGCAAAATACCCATATAGGATTTTTTAAAAAGATATAACTTTTTTTTCTTTTTAGCATCTAATTTTCAGAATCCAATAGGTTTCTACAACGCTCGAGTAAAACCCTATTTAGCAGCTTGGGCTCCCCTACTACTACGTATTTAAATATTTCAGAGGCTGGGTCGTAGATTTAATCTACATTAATCATGCACCAACCAGTCAAAAAGGTAAAGTATTACCATGTTTTAATAACAAAAAATAATATAAGCTGGAAAAAAACGCGGCCTTCTAGCAAGAGAGAGAATTTTTATTTTAGGATTTCATTAAGTTTAATCGCAGTTTATTTCCCAGCAGAGTAGCTCACCCGCTGTTCCTTCATCATATTATTTTTCTCCTTAAGCTATTAGAGCTACAAACTGGCGTTAGCACACTTTGTTTCACGGCTTATATTTCTTTGTAACTATTAAAACGGTTCGTTTTTATTGTTATTTTTATTTACCCCTATGAGAAACATTCGCGGTCTTTCAACAGATATATCTATCATATTTTCAGAAAATTTTCTAGATAATCTTTTTATTTGCAACCAAGAGGGCTGGTGTCGTTATGACAATTTTCCGTGACGGTAGCTATTTTCAAAATCGAAATTAGTTTATGTTGACATTGACACTGTAACGTTTTTAGTTCGTTACATGTTTTTTTTATATATAATATATGATGTCTGGCCTATCATCACCGGATTCCGTATCGTTCAGGCCTGATAATTTATTTGGCACGCTTGGCGTAATTTTTACGTTCCCTAGTCGTCAACCCTGTTATCGTTTGACACAACCCTGTTATCGCTCTGAGGAGGCGCTGTCAACATCTCGCTTCTGTCAACTCTCTCCGTGCAGAACCTCACTTTGTTTTGCCGCTCTGTTGTATCCCGGCTTTTAGAAATGGTGATTATTTAAATCTTGCTGTATAATTTGAATCAGCTGCTGTTTCAAAGCAACAGGGTAGAGTTTTGGATGTCCCAACTTAACTTGTATTTGTATTTTGCTGGCACGTTGGCGTCCCTTTTCTTTTGTCCTCCAGAATGTTACATGGAAGAAAGGACAGTTTCTTTGTTTATTATTGAGCCCTCGGAAGTAATTCGAGGGTCTTATGGACGGACTGTGTCCAAGGTACTGGTAGTGTTCCCCTGTACCGTTATCTTATGGACGGACTGTGTCCAAGGTATGTTAGCCGATATGTTATGTATCGCCGATTTCTTTTTAACTATTTCTCCTTTCTTATGGCCCTAAAAATAGATAAATTTCTGAAATGACAACTTCATTTGACAGTTATCTTTTACCTTGACTGGTGCTCATAAGTAAATACAGGGCCATAAGAAGGGAGAAATATTTAAAAAGAAATCGGCGATAACTCTTAAACGGGCTAATCAAAAATATCTAAAGTTATTTTTTTGAATGTGGGTTTTAGTGCTCTTCAATAAACCTAAATAGAATTATTCTCTAAAATAATTAGGGAAGCCAATAATTGACTCCATTAAAATTTACATGGGATTTCCTATGTCCCGCTCGACGATGCAACACCCAGTATAACCCATAATAACGCTTAGAATAATCTTCATAATGGACTAGTTTTTGCCAATATGTAATAAGTAAAATAAGGTATAAAACAAATAAATCAATTAATTACTAAAATATTAGTTATTAAATTAAAAATAAAACGTAAATATCTTTAAAAAATGATATAATAAATTAAATTAAGATTCATCTCATAAATCCATCACAATCTGGCAGCGCTGTCGCCATCGCTTATCACTCAAAGTTGATCACGTGCATCGGAAATTGTTTTGCGATTACCATATGTGTGCTGTTATTTTAATTTTAATTTTGGTTTGATGATGCCCGAGACCGACGCGACACTTTTTTCATTTTAATATAAAAATATAGTTATATGTTTATCTACACTAGAATCGTTGAAATTTACATCCAATTATTTAATATGCCCAGTTATTTAATCATGTATAAAAAATTAAATTTATACCTGCAATTTTCGAATCGTAAGCCACTCCCACTCCACAAATCCCATTATCTCTTGCAGCTGCCACTTCTCCGGCACACCTGGTACCATGACTGAAAAAAAAATCATTTTGACATTTAGTATTGCCCAAATATGTGTATACAGGGTGTCCCACTTAAGATAGATACAAGCCAATATCTTGGTTGTTTGTTGAGAGATCTTTTTCATTTTTGGTAGGAGGATGTAAGCATATTTAAATGCTTTTTCAAACTTTACTAGGGTTTCCTATACCTATCTGGCTCAGATTTTGAATAAAAAGCGATTTTTCAATAAAATGGCAATCAAGATGGCTGGTGTCGCCATGGCAATTTGATAGTGACAGTTAGTAAATATTTTGAAAATTGACATTAGTTTATGGACTTTATTTAAATTTATAACAGTTTACTTTTATTTAATTTACCTACAATAGTTTAATAAGTATGTGTTTATTATTTTATCAAGAAAAATAAAGAAGCAGTTCTTTGATTTATATTATGATGACTTGTAGATATATTATTGGATTTTCTATAAAAGAATCAATTGAGGCAAATTCATTTTCTTCACTTCCGACGACAGGTTTCTGCCTAATAGGTTTTTCATATACCATACTATCAGCTCTGCGAAATAGGAAAAGTAGTTTTTCAAAGGAACGCTTGTCAAAAAAATTCCTATTATATGATATCTTTGAGTATAAACCCTTCAGGCCAACAAGCAATTGTTCTCACAAAATAAAATCACCAGTAACATATCCATTCCTTTCGCCAGCAGATACTGCCTAATTTTTTCTGATAAAATAAATCTAGGTACTTTTAAAAAGTCTAGGTGAAAAAAATAGGTACCAAGTGTCACTAGAAAATTGCCATGGCGACACCAGCCATCTTGATTACAATTTTATTGAAAAATCGCATTTTATTAAAAATCTAAGCCAGATAGGTATAAGAAATCCTAATATAGTTTGAAAGAGCATATAAATCTGCTTTGACATGTTTTAAAAAATACACACAGGGTGTTGTATTTGAAATAACGAAGTTTTTATGTATAATAAATATTTAAAATAGACCAGCAATTTTTGATAGGTACCCCTGTATCCGTTTTCGTATAATCAACCGAGGCGAATGAGGTGGGCCACCCTGTATGTGTGTATGTTACCTTTAAAATACATGAACTTGAATTCTATGATGAAATAACTTGACGTAATTTTGCTCGTGCCAAATCACCATATCGAATATTTTGATGAAAAAAAAACAAAACAAGCAAGAGAGAATAAATAATTGAAGGACAGAAACTACTAACTCAACGAACTGAAAAAAACATGTGTAAATAATTTAGGCACCTCACCTGTTAAACCAATCGTCCGTATACCTTGGGTACGGAAACGGATCGTTACTGCTAAAATCGAAGCTGGCTTCGGCGTTCTAAAAGAAAATCGAAACAAATGAAGTCGATGGAAGCTTCGACGATGCACAGAGGAGCATTTTATGTCAAAACATGGCCAAACATATTTTCGTATCATAAAAACTAATTTGGATGCATAAATCAGTTATATTCCTGGATCATATTATACCGGGCGCGTCCCAAAAGTGACTCACCCCTATAACTTTTCTATTTTTTTTTAGAAAAAATAACGAAATTTGGTATGTTAGTGTATGACATAAATTAGGATTGATTAGCGTATTCAATTGTTTTTGGTCACTTCCTGTTTCACCGGAAATGACTACAACTTTTGATTTTTAAATAGCACCCTGGGTATATTTTTACATTATTCTATAGAAAATGAAACTACTCTGAATAAAATGACATATCATATGTCAACTTCTGACATTTCCGCTTAAAAAAATCGTATTTAAATTTCAATCTAGAATGCCATGGCTGTGTAAGAAACATCCCAAAATGTCAATAATAAAAAAAATCGTTTTGTAAAGACAATCTGGGGACATATTGTATAATATGAGCTTGGGTACCTGCAATGATATAAATAAATAATTATTATTTTAGTAATAAAATTTTATGATATATTATACCAATGTTAAATTAGTAATAAAATAAACTATATAATCTAACGCTGTCTTCATAATTATGAAAAATGTGCGTATTTATGTAGCATGGTATAAAAACACTCGAACAAAAGCCATAATAGTTATTAATGATACAAGTTCGATATGAACATCATAATGAAACGCGTGTAACGTTCGGCTAACGCTTCGTGGCTTAGTTACACAAGTTTCATTAAAAAGTTCATATCGAACGTGTATCATTCAAAATTTAATCTACGACGCCACACGAGGGACGATCCAAACAGATTTGATTTAATTTAAAATATCAGAGATATCCTCATAAAAATTAAAATTCAAAATTATCAGGTGCCCATATTAGTCGACGCCGCGCCGTGGTAACCGTGCTTGTTGATTGTTTCCATTTTGACTTTGACAACTCAATTATTGATGTTCAATTTTGTGTTAAACGTTCAGTTTTAGCGAAAAGCAAAAAATAATATTAATATGGGTGATTCTGATTCTGAAAGTGTTCCTTCGGATATTTGCGCAAAACGTTGTCGATTCCCTACTTCCCGAAAAAATCAAGACAAACGTACGAGCAAGCCTATATAAAACTTGAAGATTGGTGTAAAGGGAAAGGAATCAAGAATAGTAGTAACGAAAAAGCTCTCCTGGCATATTTTGAACATCTTTCAAAACATAGGAAGGCTTCATCACTTTGGGTATATTATTCCATGCTACGTTCAGTTATATCAGTGAAGAAAAATACAGATATTACGTACGTCCATTTAATTGCATTTCTAAAAAGAAAATCGGAAGGATTTCGGTCAAAAAAATCGAGAATTTTAAGAAAAGAAGACATAACTCGTTTTTTGTTGGAAGTCGATGATAAAACTTATTTCTTGACAAAAGTTTCATTGACAGTGGGACTTGCGGGAGCCTGCCGGCGTATCGAGTTGACAAATCTGCAGCTGCAAAATGTCAAAGATGAAGGACAATGCATTCATGTCATTATTCCATTTACGAAAACAAAAATATCACGAGATTTTTTTATAACGAAAGGGAATGTTGAAGGAATAAATATGGTGGAAATGGTTCGAAGATATATTTAGCTATGCAGCCAAGCAACACAGAGCATACTCGATTTTTTGTGGGGTACAGAAATGGAAAATGTATTAAGCAACCCGTTGGCATTAATACTTTAGGGAAAATGCAGTATAAAATAGCATTGTTCCTAAGTCTTCCAAATCCACAACAATACACTGGACATTGTTTCCGTAGATCGTCTGCGTCGTTGCTTGCAGATTCAGGAGTGGATTTATTAACTGTTCAAAGACATGGTGGTTGGCGCCAAACCAACCCATCACAGTGGCAGAGAGCTATATAGAAAATTCCAGAGAAAATAAGAAAAAAGTGTCATGTAATATTTTGGGTAATATTTCTGGCAATGATGGGTCTTCAACAAGTTCAAGCACTCAGGAAATAAATTAACTTTCTAAAAATTCAACTCACCTGTCATCGTCTGGAATTAATTTAACCAATTGTACTGATATTATAATTAATGTTTACAATAAACAAACGTATTTAGGTATCTTTTTTTGCTTGTTTCTTATTTTAAAATTTGCATGTTATTATGAATTCATAATAGCACTAGTGTTATTATGAAAGCCATAATGACATCCAAATGACAATGTTAAATTGTCCTAGATTAACAAACTAAAAAGCCATAAAATCAATTTTATTTTTTCCTGTCGTTACTTTTTAGAAAATCCAAGAACTAATTGCAAATTCTCATAGCCACTGGTTAGGAAAATATATTATAGTTCAGTCAAATATATCATTACTTTCAGTCAATAATTAAATAATAATTATCATCGTTATTAACAGCTTATACAAGAAGTACAAGTTTATATGGTTGAAAAACGTAAATATTTATGGCCAGCTTTAACACCAAAATGCTCCTCTGTGCGACGTTGAATTGTTCAGCTCTGTCGAGTTTTGTTTATTTATTGGATTCTCTAGAGAATGAGTTAGAGAACATACTTACGTAGTTGTATTTTAGGTCAGGATGCATGTAGTCCACTCCTGAAACGAAAGAATAACACATTTTTAGGTATGTAAGACAATTTAAAGAATTAGACATAAAGTTGGAGTTGGAACTTTTCGTATTACAATAGCAAACTAAAAACATTATTCCACCACAATACACCAAAACATTTGGACCCCTACAAAACTGTAATTCTTTTCCCATTTAACCGACTCTCTATCTCCAGTAGTTTCCGAGACACACAGAGAGAACATCGTAGAAAACTCACCCTGTATTTGAAAATTGGCTTTAAATTATCAGAAACAATATAACAGTCATGCAAGCAAGCATTATTACAAGCATGAAACCCTGCTAAATAATATACTAATACCAAGAAAAACAGATTTCGTGCCAAGAACATTATTTTTTTTGTAACAAGGCTAAAAAATATTTATATACTTTATCAGAAACGAAATATTTTTCTTGTTGCATGACCCAGGCAAATAAAAGTACGCCCCAGGTGTTTTTAATGCCGAGCATTTCAACAAAATTGCTGTATAAATGTCCGATCCAGAATGTTTTCAAGTAAATCGTAAGGAGAAACAATTCTTTCTAACAGAGCTTAAATTTTCATAATAAAATATGATTGTGAAATCAAATAAAACTTCTTAAATTATTAGAACTCTTGGTTTCATAAGAGAAAAAATCTATCACAATATATGAAATAAAATCATTTAATCTCCAACACCGGAGAACCGAAATATCTATACCGAAATAAGGAAAAGGACTAATAATAGAGTACGAGAAATTAAAGAAGAATATTGGCAGCGATTTAGTAGCGAAATGGAAGCGGATATGTACGGAGCACAAAAACGTATTTGGAAGATGTTGAGGGGTTTGAAACGAGAAACAAATGAAACAATACAACTAAGAACAATTGCAGAAGATACGTGGGAAAAATATTTCAGAGACTTATACGCAGAAGCAGATGAGCCAATGGAAGCACAAGAGACAAGCCAAAGAGATAAAACAGAAGATCATGCGCAAATCACTTACAAGCAAGTAGAAGAGACAATAAGGAAACTTAAAAATAGAAAATCTCCTAATCAAGATAAAATACCAAACGAACTAATAAAAAACGCAGGCACGGCTATCATAGAGGAATACACAAAACTGTTTAACATTATATTACAACATAAGAAAATACCAGAAGAATGGAAACAAAGTATAACAATACCCATTTTTGAAAAGGGAGATAAAACAGACCCAGCAAACTATAGAGGAATAACATTACTGAGCACCTCGCTCTGACTAAAAAGTTCTGACTAAGATCATTGCGGACAAAATCTCCTCAATAGTGCCAATAAGCGAGGAAGAACAAGGATTCCGAAGAAACCGATCAACTACCGATGCACTGTTCGTTCTCAGGCAATTAGTTGAAAAAATCCTTAGAATATAACTCTCCAGCCTATCTATGTTTTATAGATTTAACAAAGGCCTTTGATAGAGTCCAACTAAAAGACATCATCGCCATTTTGGAAAGCAGTAATGTCTCGAAAGAACTCACAGAACTTATCAAGGACTTAAACACAAACACAACAACCCAAATAAGAACAAACTTTACCTTAACGCAGCATCTTCGAACTACAACTGGTATTCGCCAAGGCGACAGTCTCAGTCCTCTGTTATTCAACACAATCATGGATCAAGTAGTGAAAATCGTCAAGAATACTGGATTAGGATATCGAATGGGAATGCATAAAGTAAACATATTATGCTATGCCGATGACGCAGTACTTATTGCAGAGTCAGAGGACGACCTCCAAAAAATGCTACAAGCTTTTAACAGACAGGCAGAAAAACTTAACATGCAAATTTCCACAAATAAGACCAAATGCATGACCATTACAAAGGAGCCTCTACGGTGCAAATTGGTAATAAAAAACAAAACTATTGATCAGATAATGTCATTCGAATACCTCGGATGCAAAACTACAAGCTCAGGATTCCTGGAAGAGAGAGAAGTAAGGAGACAAGCCAATAAAGCTGCGGCAATATCAGGACATCTTAAATATCCCATATGGAAAAACAAACATTTGAGCACAGAATGTAAGTCAAGAATATACAAAACCTGCATACGACCAATGATGACATATGGTGCGGAAACCAGAGCTGAAACATCAGTAACAAAGAGAATCCTACGAACTACTGAAATGAAGACCTTAAGAATGATAACTGGATACACATTGAGGGACAGACAGAGAAATGTAGACATAAGAGAAAAGTGCCAAACAAACGACGTTGTCAGATGGATAAGGCAGAGAAGAAGAGAATGGAACCAGCATGTCAATAGAATGGGCCCCGACAGAATGGCCATAATAAGTCGCAACAACGTACCCCATGGCAGAAGACCTACTGGACGACCACCTAAACGTTGGCAAGACAGTTGGCAGTCAACCTCGCAAGAGTTGCTTAGACGAGGAGGAAACCGGAACTAAACAGGCGATACGCCTTCTAAAAGAAGAAGAAGAAGAATATGTAACAAGGTTTTTATTTATCATATAACCATCTGTCGGGCTTACATAAATTTAAGAATATTAGGTATTCCTGATAATGTTAGAGTGGCATTGTAGATTTCTCTTGAATACATCATACGTCAAAGGAAAAGAACATAAGAATGCCAAAACAAAAATAATATTGTCAAAAAATAAAACAGGGAGTATATAAACCATTTTAAATGATGATGCGTAGGTTGGTAATTCCTTTTAGTCTACCGTTCTTTGCGTGTAGCAATTATATTATTTTTCTCCTCTTTATTTCGTGTTTTCCGGCGCTATGCTTGTTTTCCTGTTATATTTCTAGTGTAATAATGGCACTTCGGTTCGCGAAAATCGTATCAGTTTTTCCCAGCCTTTTTTGTACAATTTTTCCACAAAATAAAAGTTCCTCTATCTCATTTCCTTATATTTTCCTTCTTTCTTAACCCAGCGGCGGGTCATTTAGAATGTTTTTTGTAAGATTATTTTTTCGTAACCTTTTTCGAAGTGAAACTTCTTTTCTTTTTCTTTACGCGCGTTGGGAGTAAAAAATGAAGGGCGTAACACACGAACCTACACGGCCACGATACGCGAGACGCGAGAGAAAAAGTGGTAACGCTAGTTAACATTTCTGCTGTATATGAACTTCCTGAATGCTCATTAATCCATCCTACTACTTTAATTAACGAGTCAATCCAAAAAGAAGTTTTTCCAAACTTCCTTAAGACAGCAATAATTATTCCTCTGCATAAAGGAGGAGATAAAGATGAAGCTTCGAACTATCGCCCAATGGCGCTCCTGCCCACATTATCTAATATCATTGAAAGATTGGTTAAAAAAAATTCTATCTTTTCTTTTGGCTTTTCTAAGGAACTTATATTATTATGCCCTTTTTGAATTGCATCTTCGTTATGACCTTCCATTCTGGGGTACTTGCTGCGCAACAAAATTTGATCGTATTTTCAGACTTCAAAAGAGAGTAGTTCGATATTTATTGGGACTGAACAGTAGAACTCACTGCCAGAATTTCTTTAAAAATTTCAAAATGCTGACTCTTCCTTCTTTATTTATTTTTGAATCCGTTTGCTTAATCCGCAAGCACATAGTATCTGCTATTCCCGAAAGGCCATCTCATAACTATCCACTTAGGAATGATCTCTATCCGAGCTCAGAACTAGTTAAAGGTTCAATACTGTACAATGCCAAAAAAATGTACAATCATCTGCCTTTGAATATCAAGTCGCTTTCATTCTTCTCCGCATTTTGCAAAGCTCTGAAATCATACTTACTGGAGAGAGCCCTATATGCGGTAAACGACTTTTTTGTTGATGTTTAATCATGAACAATTTTAAATTTTAAAATTTTGATTATTTCACACACTGGTCAAAGGTTAAGTATTTAATATTTTATAACTCTTAAAATTATATCTATTTACTGCTTAGTGTTCTGCAATTGTCCATATAAGTATGTTCTTTTTGTAATTTTAATGACTTAAATTTTTTTGAATTGTATGATTTGTATTGTGTATTTTTTGTTGTTTGTATATATTTTCTTGCGCTTTTGTTTGTTTTGTGAGTGTTTTGTCGATGAAGCTGTTTTGCCTTTTTGCACAATAAGGCGTTGTTTGTTATTGTTGTTGTATTGCTGGTCATCCAATTTATGTGGTCTGGATTTTAACGAGCGTGACAGAGAGAATAATATATATGAGCGGTTGAGACAGACAGAGAGACAAAATCAAAAGCGGTATACAGTGTTGCCGGTTTTTTACCGGCTTTTTACCGTATGTAGGAAAATGTGTGTAGAAGAATATAAGCTATTTTAAAAACTTTCACGTATACTACTGAAATGATGATAATATAATATCTAAACAAAATATAATCTATTACAGCTGTAGTAAAATGTATAATAACTAATAGTGAAAAATAAAGTTCCAATCCTAAACGCAACATTTTTCGTAAACGCCTTCTTGTGCGGTTTGAAATTTTGATGCAAAACCCGGCAATACCGCTCAGAAGAATGTGTCAACGCAATTTTTATCTCTTTTTAATACATTTGATTTTCCATTAAGCTGTCTACATCACTGTCTTACACGTTAAAATCCAGACCGCACAATTACGATATTTCGATGATCAAATCGGTAGATATAGCTACGCCTATGGCTTTTTATTCTTCCCGTATCCTTCTTTTGCGCGTCGTAGAGTGCTGTCACTGAACAGGATCTTTACGATGGCAATTTGAATTCGCGAGGAAATGGAAGACGAAAAGCTTCTACGGAAAAATCTCATTAGTGATTTTGAGAGCGTGTTCTTGATTTACTTCTTAAAACGTTTATAAAACGAATAAAAATTATAACACAAAAATACAATATTATGTAGAAATAAACACTTAAGCTTCATTCAGAACCTTGCAATTAGTGGTTTCAATTAACGTAGAAGTTTGTTCCTTCAATTTCAATGTAAAAGCATTTAGAACGTCTACAAACTTTTGACTTTTCCACTAATTATACTTCAAAATTACCAACTATGTACTTGCAAACACAAACTTTAAATACAAATCGCCGAACTTTCCGACAAATCAGGAATATCTGAATTAATAATTATTATTTAAATCTATACCCTATACTAATATATAAAATCCTTAAGTGACGGACATACTGATTAATCACGATCCTGCTCATACCACTCAACGGAAGAAGCTCAATTTTGGCATACAGGTTGATTCTAGGGTGTAGAGGGTCGATAAGAAGGGATTTTTAAGGGATTCCAGTTCCAAGAGGATGAAACCACCCCTCAAATATTACAATATTTTTTATTTAAAAAACGGTCAAGTTTCCGAAAAAACGCTTAAACACGTATATTTTATTTTGTTTTTTACATATTTTAAGATTTTTTAAAAATGTATACAGGGTGTTTCGAAAAATCTAGTCATTGATTAATCACGATCCTGCTTAAAGCGCTTGACGTAAAAAGCTGATTTTTGGAAAACAGATTGACTTTAGGGTGTAGAGGTTCGATAAGTAGGGATTTTTCGAAACTCGAATTCTAAGGGGGTGAAACTATCCCTCAAATATTAAAATATTTTTTATTTAAAAACCGGTGAGTTTTTCGGAAAAACTCTTAAACACGTATATTTTATTTTGTTGTTTTACATATTTTAAGATTTTTTATAAATTTATACAGGGTGTTTCATAAAATATGACCAATGAGTAATCACGATTCTGCTTAAACTGCTTGACGTTTAAAGCTGATTTTTGGCAAACGGATTGGCGGTGGGGTGTAGAGGTTCGATAAGGAGGGTTTCTCAAATCTCAAATTCCAAGAGGGCGAAAACGCCCCTCAAATATTACAATATTTGTTATTTAAAAAACGGTTAGTCTTTCGGGAAAACGCTTGGACAAGCATAATTTATTTGTTTTCTTACATATTTTGAAATTTTTTAAAAAATCATACAGGGTGTTCCAAAAAGTTGGGTAATTTCTTTACCACGATTCTGCTTAAACTGCTTTTTTTGGCAAACGGATTTTTCGAAAGTCAAATTCCAATGAGATGAAACTACCCCTCAAATATTACCAAGTTATATAATAATATCGCCATATTGTTTTCTCTCATGCTGACATAAATATGTGAGAAAATTTTATCCAGTTTGTATGTTAATGGAAATTCTTGCTTTGCTTTATCATCACCATTACAAATGATTAATTCGACGCGAACGAAGTGGCTGGTACACGCTAGTAATGATTTAAAAATAACTTGACGGATCACCTTTTTTCAACTAGACCAAAACTAGACCATAGATGATAGTCAACATAGAGGCAGTCATGTCATCTTCATATATGAATTAGAAACCTGTACTTAATTTCTTTTGCGCTGTCTGGTGATGCGGAAGAAACTAAATTTGTAGTTCTATAAAATTACTGGGACTAAGCAGCAGAACTCAATGCATGGACTTTAAAAAAAAAAAAATATTAACTCTTCCTTCCTTATTATATAATATATAATATTTTTGAATCCTATTTTTATTTTTTTATTCTTTGACATTGTAAACATTTATAAATGTTTATTTTAAACAATAAGATTGACAATGTAATTTGTATACTTGTTTTGTATTCTCTTTTGTTTGTTTACTTGTTTTGTTACTTTGTTTGTATTTTATGTACTTTACCTTTGTCTACAAATTTTAAAATTTTTTAAATAATAAAGGCATTTTAGGACCTGGAACAAATTTCTGCGCTAATTGAAACCACTAATTTATTTCAGAATGAACCTTTTACTCTTTTAGATTAGATGACTATTATGTGAAATTGAATCATTGAAAATTATATAGGGTGTTTCAAAACAAATGCGAAAAACTTCAGGGGGTGATTCCTTGTTCAAAATAAAGGGTAGTTTGCTTCATAAACGTTGGGTCAAAAGTCAACCATTAGGGAGATATCGCGGTACAAAGATGGCGGAAAAATAAAGTTTTTATTTTTTATCTTGAAAACGGAAAGAGATAGACTAATGAAATTTTATGGAAGCATTACTGTTATGAAAACACACTTTCTGGTAATTTTTTCACTTTTTAAAATGAGTGGAAGGGGTTGAAATAAACTACCCCTATCATTCTTGTTAACGAAATTTAAAGAAAAATCTTATCAGACACATGCAAAAAAATTAATTTGGATAGTTTAGTTTGTTTAGAAACTTTTTTATCTCTTGTGTTTTTTTGATAAAACTCACCGATTTGAAATTAAAAAATAAAATGTAAAGCATTACATGTCAGGACAAAAAACATTTTCTGGTAAAGAATCTAGTGGGCTGCTGTAATTTTTTTAGGAAAAAATCTAGTCGGCCGCTGTTACTTTTTAGGATGTTCCTAATATTATTTTATTTGACATTACTCTACTGCAATACGTTATTATCTAGATGATTATTATTATCGTTATTATCACTAGATTCTTAATCTAAAAATGTTTTTTGTCCTGACATGTAATGCTTTACATTTTATTTTTTAATTTCAAATCGGTGAATTTTGTCAAAAAACACACGAGATAAAAAAGTTTTTAAACAAACTAAACTATCCAAATTAATTTTTTTGCGTGTGTGTGATAAGATTTTTCTTTAAATTTCGTTAACAAGAATGATAGGGGCAGTTTATTTCAACCCCTTCCGCTCATTTTAAACAAATGAAAAAATTACCAGAAAGTGTGTTTTCATAACAGTAATGCTTCCATAAAATTTCATTAGTCTATCTCTTTTCGTTTTCAAGATAAGAAATAAAAACATTATTTTTGTACCGCGATATCTCCCTAATGGTTGACTTTTGACCCAACGTTTATAAAGCAAACTACCCTTTATTTTGAACAAGGAATCACCCCCTGAAGTTTTTCGCATTTGTTTTGAAACACCCTGTATAAAAACCTTCTTTTTATTGTTTTAACAAATTAGAATAAAATTAAATATAAAAGTTAAATATATATTTTTGAATTGGAGCAAAGTAACCCCCTCCGTTGGTTGACTTTGCGCCACTTTTTAACAAAAAAAATTGGTAGCAAAAAAAATGATTACCTAATAATTGGCCATGAGACAATAGTAATATTTGTTTTATCTCTGGTGATAAGTACAAGTTCATTTTATTTTTTCTGAGTCTTCTACCAACTAATTCTCATATTTCTTCAAAAAAATGGAGCAAAGTAACCCCGGTTTACGGTATCTTTTACTAAAAAAAAAAAATGTTTTTTTTTTAATTTATTATTATGCTAAAAAAATATACCTACCGACTTTTTACGACCGCGGCGTATATAAAAAACATGTATAAAACACGTACAAAAAGTTGAAAAGGTTTCATTACGCATGAAAAAATTTTCAAAGCGTTCTCAGAGATACGAGCATAAAAGAGATAAAAAAGGGGAATATACGTCCTGTTAATATGCAATGCTCAAAAGCATTTTTAAAATAACCATACCATGTTACATTCCGTCTATATTGCTCTGTTAGCAAAAACGCGTTATAAAGGCTGAAAAATGAAAGAATTTTCAATTCTGTCGTTTTCTACACGACGAAACATTATTTTAATTAGATCAAAATAAAGCCACACTCATCGGCAGGAAAAGCACCTTCAAATTTTGAATTTATGATTAGCGATCCATTTCTAACAAATACAGGATTTAGGCGGGGATGTATCTTAGCGCCTCTCCTATTCAACATATCCGCCGTCAAGAAAATGTTTGATTAGAAATCAAAACTCTATTGTTTTATAAGTGTTTTATAGTACCTTTTACCAAAGAGTGACCTATAGTACCTTTTACCAAACATATAACTTACCATCATCCATTATGGCTGTGGTGATATTCTTCCCAGTGATTCCTTGGGCCCATGCGGCTTCCACATTCAGGTCCAACTTGGCCTTGCCTCCATTTTGGCCCGTGTTCTTCAGGTACCACTGGTAGGGGAAGTACGGGTCGGAGGGGTCCTGGTGGGGCTGGATGTTCTTCACCAGGTTCTCCACCTTTAGAGGCTTGTAACCCCGTTTCACCCGGATAAATCCGGGTTGCTGGATAGCTGTGTGGATCTGGAAAAAAGAATAATTATTTTTAAAAATATACAAGCTGACTTGACGGACACACGATTTTTGCAGTATTCTTGTTTTTACCAAAAAGTAACCATTTTTAGTAGTACTTTTAAATAAAAAAAAATGGAAATTATACTCGGAATTTTAAAATATTTTAATTTAATTTTAGTAGTTTTTACATACATATACCTATCCTAAAAATCAATTTACTTAATACCTTTGTTCAAGTAACGCCATGCATGGCAATGTCAATATGACAGTAAATAATATTGATGCCACTAGTTTCAAAAATGAGCGATTCGGAAAGTATTCCCTCTGACATTGAAGAAGAGGCATTCAGAGCCATATCTGGATTGCTTCAAGCAAGATCAAAACAGAAGTATGAATATACATAATCTAAGTATGAAAAATGGTGCACCGAAAAAAAAGTACACAACTAAGGAAATGAAAAGGTACTCATAACATATTTTTCCAATTTAGTGCAAAATAAATGTTTTACAAAATATTTTTTTCTCTTTGGTAGTCATCTAAACTAGAAGTGCGGCAATGAAAATGCGTGAGTTAAGAAGCTCTTAACTAAAAAAAAAAATAAAATGCTTTTTCTTTGCTTTTATTCTTTTATGTAACCAAAGTTAGTAGGTTGACCCGATATTAAACTCTAATATTGAAACGAGTAACCATTGCTTTCAGTTTCTCTAGATAATCGATATTTATTTAGCGAGAACAATTCGAAACTAATTTATCTTAAAGCGATAAATGGCAGTTGCTTTTCGAGCAAGTTGTTGAACTAACTTTCCCATTACTAAGATCAAGTTATATATCGACTCCTACTCGATATACATACATCTAAGTTAAGTTTGTTTGGAATACATTTGTTTACAAACTATTATGTTACTTCCTAAGTTGTGAAATAAGACAGTTGAAGCACATTTAATAATTATACGTATGAATTATTAAGCAATAACGAGGTAATTACTTTACATATATATTCGTAGGAAAAATAATTGTTTACATCGTTTATTCAGCTAATATACACTCTATTTAGCTAATATTTAGTTAAAAGCAAAAACAAAATGTGGGAAACCAAATGTGAGAGAGTGAAAAGATATATTAGAGAGAAAGTAGAGAAAGTAGGAGAAGAACAAACTGAAGATCCTGAACTACACATACATGAAATTAAAAGGTGTAGCGAATATGAATATTTAGGAAGTAGTATATCTGAAGAAGGGAACTCCAAGAAAGATATACATAGTAGAGTTCAACAAGGTAAGAAAGTAATCGGTCTTTTAAACCTTCTCCTCTGGTCAAATAAAACATCCATCCAAACAAAGATAAGGATTTACAAAGCAATCGTAGAGCCAATTTTAACATACGGTGCCGAATGCCGGCAATTTACAGCAAAAGAAAGAAGGATGGTCGAGTCAGTGGAGATGGACTTTCTCAGAAGAGCATGTCGCATATCAAGGATGGAACGCATTAGAAATGAGGAGATCAGGCAAAAAACAAGGCGAATATATACCAGCACCGACAACATCGAATCGAGACAGCTACTATGGTATGGGCACGTAAAAAGAATGGGAGGGGAAAGATGGCCAAAAAGGGCAATGGAGTATCGTCCCCAAAGCAGAAGAAAAAGAGGAAGACCTACAACTACGTGGTTAGATGGAGTAGACCAGTATATGAGAGACAGAGCTATTAACCAGGAAGAATGGCAAAATCGAGCAATATGGAGGTCGAAATGTGGGATGCGCCAGAAGTAAAAGAAGTAAAGGAATTTTTCCAATTTTGGTCCGCGGTTATTTCCTCTATCCGCCACCTGGGGTCGCGTCCGATGGGAGTTTCGAGTTCTCCACACGAATTTTCTCAAAAACGGACTACGGAAACACGGACTATCTCAAAAACTGCGACTTTGATTTTGATGTTATTACAAATTTTGTTGCAAATATTATTCCTAATCTTAAATTGAAAACCGCGTTTCGCTATCTACTGTAATTTTGCAGTTACGATTTTTTAAAATTTTTAACTCCCATCAAGTCCCATACCTCCAGGTAAGGGGATATATAAACTATAGATTTTGTTTTAGTTTGCACAATATATTTGTATATGAGACTCACTTTTTTAACTAAATAACTTTCGTGACTAAAAGTTTTTTTGGTATGAACTGTATATTAGGAATTAGCCTATGTTGTGTATCTATTGTTTAGGCGCAGTAAATTTAGAAGGATGTCCGAACTTAAATTAACAGTGGCATTATTGCGAATTCTTAAAATAATTGCACTTATTTAAAAGACACCCTAAATATTCTACATTTCTTTCAAAACTAGTTTTAATATATGTTATTTTGGCAATAATATTTCATCAAGTTTAATCGGCTTAAATAATAAAGAAAAATGATATTTAACACCCTGTAGATGATAAAATATAGATTGATCTAAAAGTATTTTGGTCCTAATTTGCGCTTGTTGGGGTGGATGACGCATGTGAAAAAACTGAGAAAAGCGTAGGATGGTGATATTAGGTTTAAGATCATCGTTTGACGTGTTGAATCACGATCGTAAAGTTAACATTATCCATAAACCGTCTTTGATGTATTTTAAATCTGTGGTTATTTTAGGATAACGGGACACGTAAGACAGCAATAATGGACGAATTTAAAACAAAAATGCACCATATAGTCTGGAACAGATATTTGTCTATTATCAGTACTCAATGAGTATGCATAATTATAACTTATTTTATTTTTATATCACTTTCTATAATAGTAATACATATACAGATATTTTTCTTATGCGATTTTATAATAATTTATTATACGCACTACAAAGATTATTTGTTTTAGCAATAAAACAGCCACTACCCATACCCAACAAGAGACCGAAGAAAAATGTTACCAGCATACGTTTTTTTTTTTATTTTAAGACATCACTAATATTTTGCTTCAACACTAGTTTTAAAACGCTTGTTATAAAATGTCTAAACTAGAAAAATCTATAATCTATATATATAAATCTGACTGTCCTGACTGATACTGACTCATCAACGCCCAGACCAAACCCTTGACCCTAGAAAGCTGAAATTTTGCACAGGGGTTCCTTTTATGATGTTTACGTAAGATAAGAAAGGATTTTTTTAAATTCATCCCCTAAGAGGGTAAAAAGGGGGGTGGAATATTACAATATTTTTTATTTAAAAAACGGTCAAGTTTCCGAAAAAACGCTTAAACACGTATATTTTATTTTCTTTTTTTACATATTTTAAGATTTTTTAAAAATATATACAGGGTGTTTCGAAAAATCTGGTCATTGATTAATCACGATCCTGCTTAAAGCGCTCGACATAAAAAGCTGATTTTTGGAAAACGGATTGACTTTAGGGTGTAGAGGTTCGATAAGAAGGGATTTTTCGAAACTCGAATTCTAAGGGGGTGAAACAACCCCTTAAATATTAGAATATTTTTTATTTAAAAACCGGTGAGTTTTTCGGAAAAACTCTTAAACACGTATATTTTATTTTGTTGTTTTACATATTTTCAGATTTTTTAAAAATTTATACAGGGTATTTCATAAAATATGGCCACTGAGTAATCACGATTCTGCTTAAACTGCTTGACGTTTAAAGCTGATTTTTGGCAAACGGATTGACTGTGTGGTGTAGAGGTTCTATAAGGAGGGGTTTCTCGAATCTCAAATTCCAAGAGGGTGAAAACGCCCCTCAAATAATCTATACTAATATATAAAATTCTTAAGTGACTCACTGATTAATCACGATCCTGCTCAAACCACTCAACGTTAGAAGCTCAATTTTGGCATACAGGTTGATTCTAGGGTGTAGTGGTTCGATAAGAAGGGATTTTCGAAATCCCAGTTCCAAGAGGGTGAAACCACCTCTCAAATATTACAATATTTTTTATTTCAAAACGATCAAGTTTCCGAAAAAACGCTTGAACACGTATATTTTATTTTGTTTTTTACATATTTTAAAATTTTTTAAAAATGTATACAGGGTGTTTCGAAAAATCTGGTCATTGATTAATCGCGATCCTGCTTAAAGCGCTTGACGTAAAAAGCTGATTTTTGGAAAACAGATTGATTTTAGGGTGTAGAGGTTCGATAAGAAGGGATTTTTCGAAATTCCAGTTCCAATGGGGTGAAACTACTCCTCAAATATTACAATATTTTTTATTTAAAAAACGAGCAGTTGCTTGGTATACAAAACTAGAGCAACGTACAGCAATTTTGTTGTTTTGCAAATTACAGAGATTTTTTAAAAATCTGCATCACAGGTGCCATGAGAACATGTCCAACAGAGCAATGGAGGTCATTCTAGACCTAACACCACTTGATATTGTCGTCGGTAGTTATGCCAATGCGGAATGACTTGGAATGGTCATTGACGGAAACAATACTGGGAGAATTTCTCAGGTCAGGGGCTTGAATTTACAACTTTGAGAAACACCTCACTGTAGTATTGAGTAATAAAAAGGATTGGAAGAAAGAAGCGCTTACTCAGCATATAAAGAGACCATACCATCACGTGGTATACTGATGCTTCAAAACCAAAGCAGGGACAGGGATAGGAGTATTTGGGCCGAAAACTGAATACTTCGAACCAATGGGCACCTACCCCAGTATCCTTCAGGCAGAAATTTGCGCTATCGAATCATGCATTACAATTTATCTTGGATAGGAACGAAGTCGCGGGAAATTGCCATCCTATACTAATAGTCAAAACAGCACTTAACGACGACAACTCAGTAACCATCAATCCTGCTCAAACCAAAGAATGTAAGAAGCTCAACAAATTAGGCAAACAGGTTGATTCTAGGGTGTAGAGGTTCGATAAGAAGGATTTTTCGAAATTCCAGTTCCAAGAGGGTGAAACCACCCCTCAAATATTACAATATTTTTTATTTAAAAAACGGTCAAGTTTCTCCTCAACGAACACCTCAGTAGGCTGAAACTGAGAAACAACGGTGAATGCAGATTTTGTGGGGAAAATGG